AGAAATGAGTTCAAGGGCAGCATCTGTAAAAAGTGTAAACACGCATGCCTTTTGATCCACAAATCCACTTCTAAGAGTTGAGCCTACAGAAATATCAAGGCAGACACGGAAATAGAGATGTACAAGAAAGTTCCAGTTTGTAACCACTAAAAAATTGCCACCATCTACATGTTTAGCATGAAGATGTTAGTTGGATAAATTGTGCTACATCCGTATTCTATTCAGCCATCAAAAAGAATGAAGTGGTTTTCAGCATCAACAATACCCTCTACGTCTTACGAGAAAAAGCAGGTTGCATAACATAGAATATGATCCCCATTTTAAATGTATTTTGAAAATAATCTCTTTCTTTTGGAATAATCTGAGATTTACAGAAAAATTGCCAAAATAGTACATAGAGTTCCTATAAATTCTTCACCTAGTTTTCCCCTAATGTTAACAAGAATCTTATACAACCACGATACATTTGTCAAAACTGAGAAATTAACATTGGTACATTAATATTCACCAAACTCCAGACTGTATTTGGATACTACCAGTTTTCCCACTAACGCCTTTTTTTCTGTTCCAGGATCCAATCCAGGATACCGCATTGCTTTTAGTAAGTGTATTTTTAAGTGATTATATTTGCATAGAAAAATTGTCTGGAAGGATTCACTACAAACTGTTAACAATAGCTGGGGGTGGGAGGGAGTGCATTTCATTTTCTCTTTGGATAGTTTATCTTTTAAGGTAATTTTTAACACTCTGTGATTTAAAGCCAAAACATTGTACAAAATATCCATTTCTTCCTTAGCTGTAATCAAAGTCACCCACTCAGTCAAGTGGGCTGTAAATTTTGTGTACCATTTATTTGGGGGGGTAATTAGATTTATTTATTTATGTATTTATTTATTTTAATGGGGGTACTGGGGATTGAACACAGGACCTTGTGTATGCTAAGCATGTGCTCTACCACTAAGCTAGACCCTCTCCCCGTCAGTCCTCTTCTTGGGTTTTTTTGGTTTGTTTTTGTGTACCATTTGACATTTAATAATGAAATAGTGAAAAGTTGCCTGCATATCCAGAGCTGCTTGTCTTTTATTACCCCTTAATCTCTTTTCACCTCTCCCACTGCACAAAAAAAAAAAGTGCCAAATCTCAGCCCATCAGAATCCCTCCAGCTAAAGTCTGGCTACAGAATTAATGAAATAGCAATGGTGTTAGTAGTGTGTGTGTGTGTATGTCTGACAAAGTCCAGCAGCCTCACAGTTTTGGCTGTTCTTATTCTTACTCACACACCAGCCATTTCGTCTTCCCAGGGTAATAGAGAGTCCTACTTTTAAAGAACCTACTGACTATCTACTGTTAATAGTTGGCGGAGACAGGCATATAAACCCTAATGCTTGTTTATATTGGAGTTATTTATCTGGGGATATCTACCCTTCCACCCCCCCCCCCACACACAATTGGGTGGTATTAACATTTAAGTGTCAGAGAGACAGTAAGGTGTAGAGACAAAAAAGCAGGAACTGGAGTCCCATAGGCCTGGGATTGAATCCTGGCTGTGTGACCTTGGGGACCATTTCTCTGAGTGTTTTGCTCATGTATAAAATGGGACCAGTGACACTTCCCCAGATGGGTATAAGGGTGAGGGTTCTCAGCCTAGTCCCAGGGTATTGGGAGTAAATGAGGAATAGTAATTATTATTATTACTGCTATTTGTATCATTATTTATGAAACTGTCCCCCAAAGTCACCTTTCTTTTATGATTGGTACTTTTTTTTAGGGGGAGGGAGTAGGGATCATATTTAGCAAATACCCTTCAGCTCACTCGGTTCTGAGAGGTTGTAATTCCTTCTAAGAGTTTTAAAAGTTTGGTTCTTTCACATTCAGCTCTTTAATCTCTCTAGAATTCATTTTTATGTAGGAAGCAGAAATCCAGTTTTTTTTCCCATATGGGTGATCATTGTCACAGCTCCTCTGAGTGTCCATCTGCTCCTTGTGTCGTGTGTTGTATTTCCACCTACGCAGGTGGCTGTTTCTGGGCTCTTTCGTCTATTCCACTGCATTTTTTTTCCGGTTCTACCAGCACCCTGCTTTAATTACTGTGGCTCTGTAATGTGTCTTAGGATCCATTAGGGTGTGTCTCTCACACTGTTCTTTTTCTTCAGAAGTCTTGGTTTCCTTGGCCCTTAGCCTTCCACGTAAATTTTAGAATCATTTTGTAAGTTACACACACATGCACACACAACCTGTTGGGATTTTGATGGAACTTATATATTAATTTGGGGAGATTTGACATCTTTGAGATTGTATTTCCCATCTATGAATATGAAATCTCTAGGTATTTTTTGACTTTTAATAGTTTTATAGATTATTTCCCAAATATCTGATATACCTTTGTTGTATACCCAGGGACCTCATATTTTGTTTCAGCCATTGCTTTGGAAACTGGTTAACAGCCTTCTTCTGAAAATGGATCCCTTTGTCTTGTCTTTCACTTGAATCTGACCTAGAAAGGGTTTATTTTTAAATTTTTATTTTGAAATCCTGTTTATCTTTTACCCAGATATTGCAAATGTGGGGGAAGAATGTAGCTCAAGTGGTAGAGCACATGATTAGCAACCAAGAGGTCCTGGGTTCAATCCCCAGTACCTCCTCCAAGCAGGAATCAATGAAGAAACCTAATTACCTCCCCCCTCATAAAACAAACAATACCAGATACAGCAAATGTGAACATTTTGTTGCACATGCTCTCTCCTCTCTGTATGTAATATATGTAATATGCATAGAGATCACTGCAAAATGATGACCATGACAGTTTGTTAACATCTCCATCACATCATCAGCTAATTTTTAACATGCCCTAGTACTTCTTGCCCAAATTTGTTACAACTATGATGATTGCAAGTGGTTATTTTCTGAATCCACTTTTCCTTCTACGATTATTAGTTGGCATCGTACTATAAGATAGTTTCCCTTTTATGGGAAAAGTTTTCCCATTTGTGTGTATTTATGTATGTATTTATCAGCATGGACACATACAAATTCTTATTTTATTCAATGTTTAGTACCTGTTGTCCTTGTTCGTTCTGATGCACAGCTGTCTCCAACTGGCCAGTGCCTCTCCCTACCCGATTAATTTGGCACCTCTGTTCACATCCTCCTAATTTTGTGCGTATTTTTTGGCATAAGATATTCCAGATTCACCTTGTACCTTCCTGGCCCTAGCCCTAGAGTCAGCCATTTCTCCAAGGAGACCTGGTTCCTGCTTTTAGAGAGAAATGGTTTTTAGAAACCAGTTATCTGGGCTCTGAAGAATTTTAAGGGAAACGCTCTAGGAGGATGGCCCTGCTTTGGCGCATTCTGGCCACCAGGGGGCAGCACATCTTAGAAAAATGCAAAAGACCCAGAATCTGATCTGGGCTGGGCTGGGCTGGGCTGGGCTGGGCTGGGCTGGGGCTGCACGGGCCATGCTTCCTAGTGGTGTCGCTAGTCCTCTTCCTGGAAAGGGGGAACACAGTCCACCCACCACATGCTCACTACCACCCTGTGTGCATACAGAGACCCTCATCCAGCCTCCCCCATCAGTACATGCCTCACCAACCCTCTCACCAATTTCTTTATATATTGTTTTTCCCTGAAGCCCTCTAAGGGGGGTCAACTCGGAGGCAGAGAGGGAGAGGGATGATGTGAGGCTTTAGGGAGGCCCCAGTGGCTCATCCCCAGCCCACCCCACCCTACTCCCAGTACAATCCGTGAAAATGCTCTGGGTAACAGGTATGGAGGGGCCCCTTCCTCAACAGGGGACACAGTCTCTCTAGCTGGCTGTTCCTCAGGGGCCTCAGGCCACAGCTGGCTCCCTCCCTCAGCCTGGCCTGCTGGGCAGGAAACCTAGATGGGAGGGTTTCTGTCCTGGTAGACCACCCCCCACCTGCTTGGAACCTAAACTCTCACCTGCTTCTTTCTGCTGGCTTCCTCCACCCCCACCCCATCCCACCCTCATCTATGTTAATAGGGTCAAAGGAAGTTGTTGGACTAATCTCTCCCCTCACTTTATTTTCACACAAGTAAACTAGAGTATTAAAAAAACAAAACCAAGGGGGTAGGTATAGTTAAGTATTACAGTGCGTGCTTAGCATGCATGAAGTCCAGGGTTCAATCCCCAGTACCTCCACTAAAATAAATAAATAAACCTAATTACCTCCCCCAACCAAAACAAAACAAAACTAAGGCGGTATACTTAAGCAACTTCAACCTATGGTTCAATTACTTTAAAAGCAAGCATTTGCAAGAGATTGCATATTTCCGCCACTAGGAATTCAATGCCATACATTTCTTGTATTTTTTTCTCCTCTTCTGAGGAGTCTCATCCAGGCGCGGGGCAGAGCAGGCCGTGAGGAAGCGCTGAACCCTAGCAGTCCTTCCCCACCTGCCCCGCCAGGACTGGTGCAGCAGCCTCCTGACCCTGGTCTCCAGTCCTGCCCCTCCCCAGGCCAGATCGGCCTTCCTCACCTTGCAGAGCAAAGCCCAGCATCTCAGCCCAGCACCTGTTCCACCCATCTCCCCAGCCCCCTAAACTGTCACTCTCACCCTCTGAAGATCTAGGGCTCCAGCAACTCTGAGTTCCTGAGTTTTCCCCTTAAGCCCACCCCGGGCCCTCTTCACACCTCTGTTCACACAGCTGCCTCTGCCTGAGCTGACCGTCCCTGCTGCCTCCCTCAAAGTTGGGCATAACATTCCCTGATCTCCTAAAGATGCCGCCTGTTCTCTCACTTGGAAGGAGCTCCCATCTCCGATCAAATTCACCTCCTCCTTCACTCAAGGCCTTTCTCTTGGTCTCCCCCCCCCCCCACCGTGAGCTGGCATAGCTCTCAGGCTCCCTCGCTGGGTGATGAGGGCAGAACCAGGAAAGGATGGACACCTGGGGGTGGAGGGAGGGAAGGGGTGAGAATTAATGGTCCACCAGGCTGCCAGCCCATGCTTCTCAAACCTTAATGTGAAGCCAGATCACTTGAGGAGATAGCAGAAAAACAGATCCTGACCCAGTCGGTCTGGGGTGGGGCTGAGTCTGCGTTTCTAACAAGCTCCCAGGTGATGCTGATGCTGCTGGACCCAGAGCCACTTTGAGCCACAAGGGCCTAGCCAACTGGATTGGCTGCGGGAAGGGAGGCCACCGGGAGCCCAGGTGTGAGTAGCCATCATCCGGGGTATAAGATGGCAGGGCCGGTGCCGCCCCGGAGTTACCAGTGGGAGTGGCTTCATTGGCATCATGGGGTCGCACTTTGGGCTCCTCATCTGCTTTCTGCTCTGGGGAAGCATGGAGCTCTGCAACCCCCAGCCTGTCTGGCAGGATGAAGCCCAGCAGTTTGTGCCATCGATGCCGCCTGCCGTGATGGTGGAGTGTCTGGAGGCCCAGCTGGTGGTCACTGTCAACAAGGACCTTTTCGGCACCGGGAAGCTCATCAGGCCTGCAGACCTCACCCTGGGCCCTGACAGCTGTGAGCCGCTGGTCTCTGCGGACACAGATGCTGCGGTCAGGTTTGAGGTCGGGCTGCATGAGTGTGGCAATGGCATGCAGGTGAGGCTTCTCCCACGAGCCCCCCTGCAGCGCTAGCTCCAGGGGGATGACATGGGAGGAGGTGGTCAGTGGTGGGGGGGAGTGTGGATGTAGAGCCCGTGGGAGGTGGGGCAAGGGTGGGGCAGCTGAGGCCTGAAGCTGGGCCTTGGTGTGGTGGTGGGGGGAGTTCATGCCTCTAGTTGCCGAAATTGGGTAGGTGGGGTGGAGTCCAGAGGTGGCGGTGCACTTTGGGCCAGGCCGGGCACCCCCACTCTGATTCCTGAGGATTTGTGACCCCTGGAAGGAATCTAGGGGAGCTATAGCTGGTGTAGGGGGCGTGATACGATGCCCTGCGGGTAGCCCAGCCCTTGCTTGGGGCCCTAGACACTTGTATGGAAGAGATGAACTTTGGCACCTCAGAAAGCCCAGAAGTCGTCACAGAAAAAGAATTCTGGCATCCCTTGCTCATGTTTAATGGCTTTGAAGCCTTGAACTAAACGCGGTGAGGGAGGGGGCAAAGGGCATTGTGGTCACCTATGTTGAAACAGGCTCCGAGTGGGTCCCTTGGGGGGCGGTCTCAAGTTGGGGGTCAGTAGGACGCATGTGCAGGAAGAGAGCTGAGTAATTCAGGCCAGATCCCTTCCAAGTAGGGGGGGGGCAGATCCTCAGATGACTGGACGGGCCCTTCCAGCACTGCAGGGCGGACTGGGCACAGCTGGTACCCAGTTCCCTGGAATGACTCCCTGCTGCCCCTCAGAGATCTGTCCTCCCCGCTGTCATGCCCACCCCTCACCCTGGACTCAGGTCTCAGCTTGGCTAGGGGCAAGTTCAGCTCCTGAAGTCCCCTTCTGGCACTGTGGTCTTAGTATGGCCCCCAGGGTCCCCCTTGAAGTCTCCCGCCCCTTGTTTTCTGGGGCGAGGGAAGGGCAGCAGAAGCTGCAGGAGTTATTTAAGGAATTATTCTAATTTAGTAATTCCCAGTCTTTAGGCATTAGAATCACCTGGGGAACACTTAAAACTCCTGAGTCCCATATCCCATATTAAATCCACACAGAAGTAGGGGCCAGACATCAGCATCTTTAGAATCCCCAGGTGACTCCGACTGAGCACGGCTTGGAAACTCCTTTCCCCAGGGCAGTGTTCCCAGTCTCGCCTGATAAGAATCATGTGAGTGCTGGGAACGCCACCTGTGCTGTCCCTCAGGGCCCACGCTTGGTTTAGTGATGCTCTGCTGTCCTGAAATTCTTTCCTCTTGAATTGGGAGCCCCACATTTTCACTCTGCACTGGGCCCCACAAATAGCAGCAGGTCCACCTGGGGCACTCGTTCATGGAAAGCTAGGACTCTCCTGTGAAGCGGGAGCGGTGAGGGCGGGCCCGGCAGCCGCCAGGGGCCCTTGGTGATGCAGACTGCCCCGGTAGCACCTGCCTGTGCTCTCCCTGCCTCGGGGAGCCACCGAACCCACTACCCCTTCTGTGAAATGGGCTTGAGAATAAGTCAGAAGTGGGAGGGTGAGTTAAGTGTTCACTGCTGTGGCAAAGAGTTAAAATTCTTGAAACTTTCTGGCTCCTTCCTGGGGAATTTCTTGGCTCCAAGCATCCCCTGGGAAAGGAAACAGGGTGCATGTGTGTTGGTGGGGGTGGCAGCCTGAGAAGGAAGCACATACCTGATGTCTGGTCATCAGACGCTGCTTGGGGGTGACACAGAGCTGATCTAGACCCCCGGTGGTGGTGTCACCATGTTGGGGTGAAGAGAGGTGCGAAGGTGGTTCCTGTCCAGCTTCTCCTGGGGTCAGTGGCAGAGCAGGCTTTGAACCCAGGGCCTGTGTTCTCTCCTCCACAAGCTACCGGCCCTCCCTGCCCCTTGCAAGGGTCAGGCACACCTGGGGCCGGTGATGCTGGTAGGATAAGGCCTCCCCTTTCCTTCAGGTGACCGAGGATGCCCTGGTGTACAGCACCTTTCTGCTCCACAACCCCCGCCCTGCGGAAAACCTAACCATCCTGAGGACTAACCACGCCGAGGTTCCCATCGAGTGCCGCTACCCCAGGTCTGTGTGGGACGGGCCTGTCGCTGCCCCGGTGCAGAGGTCCCTCAGCCAGCACATCAGCCTCCATCTAGAACCATGGCTATGAGAAGGTGGAAGTGCTTGGTCTGTGGTCACTGTCCCCAGTCCTGGTGGGCCTGTCCTCATGGCTGCGGCCAGTGCTGGGTGGCCCACAGGCTGGGATGCTTTTTCCTAGCCCAGATACCTGAGGTGTGGTTCTCTCAGTAGATGGGTCACTTGGGGGGCCTCTTCCATGAGACTCAGCGGGGCAGGCACCTGGAGACGTCTACCTGCCCCAAGGGCCCTCCTGTCCTGGTACAGCTTCAGTGTCTCAATGGCCTGAGCCTCCACAGTTAACCTGGATGAGGGCAGATGTGGGTCTAGAAACCAAACCAACCTGAGATGTATTTGTGATCATGCTGCAGCTTGGATGTCTCATGGCTGCGAGGCGTGGGCCCTTCAGATGTTTGAGTTTGGGAGGTTCAGGGGCATTGGGAGGTTCAGGAACAGGCTCAGGCTTCAGGTGATGTTCAGCCACCTGGCTGGGCCATCGCTGAGGACCCTGCAATGAGGTAGTGGCGAGATCCCCTCCAACATGGGGCCAGGCCAGGGAGCCCCAGGCCGGGTGGGCAGCTGCCGTTCTCTCCCAGGCAGGGCAACGTGAGCAGCTGGGCCATCCTGCCCACCTGGGTGCCCTTCAGGACCACAGTGTTCTCGGAGGAGAAGCTGGTTTTCTCTCTGCGCCTGATGGAGGGTGAGAAAGGAGGGCAGGCTTGCGGGGCAGCTGGCCGGGAGAGCTCTGGCCATCCGTCACCCCAACTGTGCCTTTCAGAGGACTGGAGCGCCGACAAGACGACGCCCACCTTCCAACTGGGAGACAGAGCCCACCTCCAGGCCCAAGTCCACACCGGCAGCCACGTGCCACTGCGACTGTTCGTGGACCACTGTGTGGCCACGCCGACGCCGGACTGGAACACCTCTCCTTCTCACACCGTCGTGGATTTCCACGGGTGAGGCTGGGCTACCTTTCTGGGGAACTCTTGTGACGTGACCTGACCTGTCACCTGCCTCGATCTCTAACTCCATTTTTTTGTTTGTTCTCCTCAAAGTTGTCTCGTGGATGGTCTCACCGATGCCTCGTCTGCTTTCAAAGCACCCAGACCTGGGCCAGAGACACTCCAGTTCACGGTGGACGTGTTCCATTTTGCTGATGACTCCAGAAACACGGTAACGGCTTTTAATAGCCTGGAATAAGATTGAACGACGGGGTCAGGCTGACCAGGCTCACTAGCTGGTGCTGTCACTCCCTTGCTGTCTCCTTTAAGCAGCAATTTGGCAGCTCTGCACTGTCCTAGTTAACTCTGCAAACTTACCAATTAGATAAAGCCATGGGCTCTAGTGAGATCTTTGAGAGATTGGGAGAAAACCCGTGGAGGGTGGAGAGAGTCAGGGATTCTAGAAACAGAACAAACTAGGAGAACAGGGACTCAGGAGATCGAGCCCCAACAACCACAGCACCTGGCGACCAGGTCAATGACTTTGTCCTTACCAAGGTCAGCAGGGCCAGAACCCCGATGGGTGGAGTAAGAGTTAAGAACAGATGTCGGCCTTCCTGGAGGCTTTCTGGAAGGGCAAGGAAAGCAGGTATGACCTTTTCATACTAGGTAGCCTCTTGAACTTGAACTTGGTTATAGGCTAGACCAGTGACTTGTGGGAACCTGAGTGCATCAGCATCACCTGGAGGGCTCGTTGAAATTGACCGCTGGGCCCCATCCTCAGGGTTTGGTCTGGTAGGTTTGGAGGAGAGCCTAGAATCTGCATCCGCAACAAGTCTCTGGGTGCTGTGGATGTTTGAGAACCGCTCAGCTAGAAGCCCAACTTGACACTAAGTAAGGGAAGGGTGGGGAGGTAAGACATGGACTGTGCCTGATGGCTGGGGCAGGAAGTACGGGTAGGGCTGGCCTCCAGCCAGAAAGTGCTGGTTAACTCTTACAAAGAAACATCCAAGTAGCTTTGAAATAAATTTCTCGACATAGGAGTGGGGGGTTAGGGGAAGTTTAGAATAGCTGATCAGGTAGGATTAGTGATTAAAGGAGGGGTTTTTCCAACTCTGGCTCTGAACTAACCCCCTGGTAAGGTCATCAAACTCCTGATGCTTGTGTGTAATCCCATATATTTTCACTTAATTGGGCTGGGACCTGGCATCAACTCTCCACTTTATTAAATCTTCAAACATGTGAAGTGGGAAGAATTCTAGCACCAACAGCTATAAACACCTCCATACCTACCACCAAGGTTCTACCAGTAGTATTGTACTACGTCTAGTTGCTAGGCTGTCTTAGAAATGCATCAGAAGCCACTTAAGCTCCCTGGGGCTTCTAAGCAATTAAGTTTACAAACCACGAGCCAGAAGCTCACCGGCTCGGTGGCCTTGCAGTTTGTTACAGAAGGTAGATAGGAGCGGCACAACTGAAGCTATGGGGAGTTGACCTGGAGCTTTCTGATGGCAGGTCCTGGGTTGAATGGGGCTGGAGACAAAGGACAGACTCGAAGTCCTGGTCCCCAAATCAGTGGCCTTGTGAGTTCTCGGGTAGAGGATCCTAGTTGGAGCAGGGGGTTGACTTGATTTCAGAGATGGTCCACTGGGGAGGAAGGAGGGTGAGGCTTCAAGCAGGTGATGGCCTTGACCCCAGGGGAAACGTGAGCTAGTATCTGCCTCTCTAAGGATTGGGGGTCCTTAAGACCAGGGGATGATAAGCCTGAGCTCTGGAAAGGCTCTCCCTCAACGTGGGCAGATGGCCTGGCCAACTGAGTCTGTTAGGACAGGGAGAAAGAAACCTTACCTAATGCTAATGGGGAACCACTTTGGGCTCCCAGTTTGCATCAGACATACGCGCTGGGAAGAAGCTGAAGGTCAAAGCCGTTCCCTTCCTGGGATAAAGACCCTAAAGGACCCGGAAGCCCTTCTGCAGTGGGGCAGATAGAAGGCTGGCAGCCAGAAGTGCCTCTTGGCTCGTTCAGGTTTCCGAAATGGTTTCCCTGCTGGTGCTGTTGGCCGCTAGGTGGTGGCCGAGGCTTGCGGTTCTGCAGAAGGCTTCAGAAAAGGTGGTAAAACATCAGTGCCTTCTCAGGTTTGGTAGTGTTGACACCCTAGACTATGAAGGGGGGCCTATAGCTGTGGGTGCTTCTGCCAAGGGGACCCAGGCTGACCTGAGCTCTGGCTTTATCCAGATTCCACCTACTCCAGCTGGTCAGGTGGAATTTCAGTTCCTTTGGGCTGGATCCCTGTCCCTGAGGTTCTGACTTAATGGGCCTGGGGCATTGGACATGCTAAGTGATGGATAGGTTTGGAAAGAGCTTAGACCAACAAGGATGATGGGTTCCAAATGAGAATCCAGTTTGCTACTTGCTTCAAAGTTGTGGGCAAGTTAACCTTTGAACCTCCATTGTCCCATCTGTAAAGTGAAGTTCTGTAACCTCAGGGGTTAAGGGTTCTGTAAGAACTGGCTTACTAGTCACTGCTTGGCCCAGAACGCCACCTCGTAACAGCTGTTATTTCCAGATATATATCACCTGCCATCTGAAGGTCACTCCAGCTGACCAAGTCCCGGACCAACTGAACAAAGCCTGTTCCTTCAGCAAGTCCTCCAATAGGTGAGAAGACCAGCTTGGACATGACTGGGTAGAAAACCTAACCGGCCACCCTCATGTTTATTCCTTGCCATGTGCGCCCCTCTGGCAAACTGCTTCCAGCTGGCCACACGGCTGTCTGATGCTCTGATCCTTCCCCCTCAGATGGTCCCCGGTAGAAGGCCCTGCTGATATCTGTCAATGCTGTAACGAAGGGCGCTGTGGCATTCCAGGCCGTTCCAGGAGGCTGTCCCGCCTAGAGGGACAGTCTGTTTCCCGCAGTCGCAGGCATGGTAGGTCTCAGGAGGGCCCCAGCCTCAGGATGCCCTTTCCTCCATCTAGGGTACCTGTTGTCACTTCCAACAGGTGACATTCTTCTCCCTTGTCCCCCATTTAAGGCTGCTTTACCCCTAGGGGGATACAGTCCCAGGACTAAGAGGCTCCAAGCCCTCACCCCCATGTTAGCCAAGGCCATTGTGCATTCACCCTGGAGGTCTGATGCATCATCAGGGAGGGGGTGGGAGAGGAGAATGCAGCTGTCAGAACATAACCTACTAGGTGAGCCCACTGAGCAGAGCACTCCTCACCTGATTCCTGGCTGGGGACTGACGTGACCCTTGGATGTCTTGTCTTTCAGTGACAGAAGAAGCAGATGTCACAGTGGGGCCACTGATTTTCCTGGGAAAGACGAGTGACTACGGCGTGGGAGGGTCGACCTCCTCTCCCACCTCTGTGATGCTGGGTGTGGGCCTGGCTGCTGTGCTGTCCCTGACCCTGGCTACCATTGTCCTGGCTGTCACCAGGAGGCGTCGGGCTGCTTCCCACCCTGTGATATGCCCTGTGTCTGCTTCACAATAAAAGAAGAAAGTGACCTCTGGGGTGTGGCACAGTGATTAGACAGGGGTGAATCGGGAGTGGCTATGTTGGGGCAGGGGACAAACCATGAGTGTCATGGGTTCAAATGGTGAAATCTAAGTACTATTGGGCCTTTAGTGAGTCTGTACTGTGGAGAGGCCAGATTGGTCTGAAGGCAAGCCTGAATTTTCCTGGGTTGGGGCATCATGTCCTTCCTTGGGCCAGGGCTGGGTTCCCCAGGGGCAGCTGTAATCCCATGTCTCCAAGGAGGCCAAGATGAGAAGGGTTGGGGGCTTAAGTGGGATGGGCCCTGCCAGCCCCACTTCTAGGCTGGCAAAGGATCCTGTGTCTCTGGGCCCTGGTGGTCTGATTCTGGGGATGGGGCAGGGGGAAAGGACTTCTGGTCCCCTTCTGTAATGGCAGCAAGCAGAAAGCCACATGTCTATGCACTAGAAGCCTAAAAGCCAGAAGCGATGGTCTAGGGCAGTGGTCTGGGCGGTGGTTACCTTGGACCTGAAGCTGCTATTGAGAGCCCTCTGGGGGAGGAGCGTGCCGTGGCCAAGCCACTAGCTGAGGTGGGTGCTTTAAGGCTTCCTGTCACTGAGGGGAGCTGCCAATGGCCCCCCCCACATAAGCTGGTGTGATTGCCACAGCCGCTGGGAGTGCCCAGCAAGGGAATGGTGCCTCCAAGGGAGGTGGCCACGCTCCCTCTGCTGAGGGCACTGTGGGCTGGCCCTGAGCTGGCTCCAATTTCACCCCTGTGTGACTCACTCTCACTGGGTGAAGATCACCTTCACTGGAATTTCAGCCTGGCTAGTTACCTGCCCGGAGCCTGAGGCTGGTGCCTGCTGGCTGGGTCTGTTACTTATAAACTGCTTAGGACCAAAGGGCACTTACACAAAACCTTGCTCTGGATGTGTTTGATTCGGGGTCTCAGGAGCACAGGAAGGCCTAGGTCCTTGCCCCTCCAACTGTGGCTTTGTGAACAGCATTGAGCATCACCTGGGGATTTGTAGGAAGGGCAGAGTTCAGGGCCCCATCCCAGACCTAAGAATCTGCATCTTAACAAAACCCCCAGCTGATTCTGATGTGTGACATGCACTGGGCTAGAGGATTTGCATGAGGAAGGAATCCTGCTCCTCCAGCAGGTGTGCTGTATGTAAGGGAGTAAAAGACTGGGGGTTGGAGGAGTGGGCTTCCCAGAGGTGGTGTTCCTGGAGCAAATCCTCCAAGAACAAGCAGGTCCTAGCTGGGCAAAAGGGGAAGGTGGGTGTGAAGGGAAGAGAGGGTGGGGAGAGCCTGTGCCCTGGGGGAACGGAGGGCCTCAATGTCCAGTAAGGCAGGGGATGGAGAGGGAAGCCTCGTAGAGCTGATGGAAAAAAAGCCACCGGAGGGCTGAGTGCCATGGATGGACCATCCCTGTTGGAGATCAACAGAGTAGCAGAGGATGGCCTGGAGGCTGAGAGAAAGCCAGCCTGGCTTCCTGCCACTGCCAGCTTGGCAGGTCATTTCATCTGTAAGCTAGGACTGTCAGGAGGTTGAGTAAGAGCCTTTGATGGAATCCTGGGCCCTGCAGTGGGGCTCCCAGGCCAGATGGCCCGTCTCACATCCCACCCAGCTCTATCCCTGCCCGAGCCTGTTTCCTTCTGCTTAGAATCATCCTGTTCTCAACTTCACAGTATGGTGAGGATTCATATGACACTTGGTATGCAGCGTGTGTTCAGAGCTGCTCTGTAAGTAAAGGCTACTCCCCGGACCCCCTGCGGGACCATCCCTGCTGCAAACACCCATCTGTGACTTGCCCTCATGTTCCTCGGTGTTGCAACATCTTGGGAACTCATCTCTCATTCAACTTCAGCTGTCCTCAGCAGAAAGAGGAAGTGGCCGGGTCTGGTGGGGGCAGGAAATGTGCCAAGGATGTGAACTTGAGTGTCAGCCCCAGCCAGTTCCAGGTGAGCCTCAACACAGCATGAGGTTGGCCCCGGGCTGGGCGGAGAGGCAGCATCCAGCAGTAACGCAGAGGACCCTGACCTGCCTTCCTGCCTCAAGGTGGAGCTTCAGTGGCAAGGGAAGGGAAGGCGGTGGGCATTGAAGGTTGTCCATCTCCAATTGCTTGGGCCACCTCTTTCCCTGATGTTTGGGGAAGCTTCCTATTATATCCTGTGAAACTCGGTGAATCAACACTTTGAGGGTTTAAAACTTCATCCGAAGTCACACAGCACATCCTGTGGGCTCCAACTGTGCCCTGCTGGCCTTCCTGGGAAACCCCACACTCCACCCACATAGATCAGGCTGAAGCCCCAGCCCACGGGTGTTCCTCAATGATAAAAAGTTTAAAAAAACAGTTTAATCTTAAAACTTTGCCTTCCTGGTAGTCAGGGGGAAAAGGGAGATGAGGTATCTTAAAGAACAATGAAGAAAAAAGTAAAACCATCATACAAACACAAAATAAAAAGGTATCAAAGATCTTGTTTTAACTCATTCATTGAGAGAAACTGCAAGACGGAAACAACTGGTTCAAAGGAGAATCCAGAAAACAGATTTACAAAGGCAATCAGAAATGTAGACATGAATTTGCTGAGAGGCGAAAGTGGCTTCCGCAGACAGAAATCAATTGCATCTCTTTGGAGAAGAATTACTTGTATTACTATTGGTTTTGTAAAATACCTTAGCCCAAGACAAGGAAAGGCACAGACTCATAAAATCAGATCATCTAGAAAGGTGCGAGAGAACACCTAGTAATCCTTTTGCCCATTTTAAAGTCTTCCACCATTTTCCCTGACAGGTGTGAGAGTTCTCAGGAATTTTTATCAATGGATTCTAAGCAGCTCTGGGAAGCTAATGGAAGTTGGAAGTTGGTTGGATATTACCAGAAAGAGAACAGAGTGTCTCCCACGGGACCACCTGCCCCTCAGTCTTCGGGCTAGGATGCCTGGCTTGTCCACACACCACAACCAATCCCTTCTCTGGAGTAACTCAGATCCCAGATGACTGTTAAAAACAAAATTCAAGTGAGTAAATGTAAAGATCTTACTGGCTTCATTCAATGATTCATGCATTGGGCAGCATCCCATCCAGCAAAGATAAAGGACCTCCAAAGAACTGTACAAAGTGAAAGCATTTTATAAGCAGACAGGGGCAGGAAAAGGAAGTTTCTAGCAAAGAGTGAATTATTTCAGGCAAGGTTACCTTCCTATGGGGGATGGAAAGGGTCTATGGGGAGGATTACTTCACTAGCGGTGGCCCAGTAATTCCAGATTGACTGGTTATCTTTCTGGGGGAGGCTGAAACTGCAATTAGGTATTAAGGCTTGGTTGCTGATGTGGGGCTTAGCACAGGTGACTCCATTTTGGGCCTATTGTCTGATTTTTTTTTTTTTAATACCAGGGTGCCAGAGCATTAATTTACAATAAGAACAATAACTGTGGGGTAGGGGCTAGGGGTCAAGTGTGATTGCTTAGATTTAAAACAAATTTCCCCAACGAGTTAACTGGGAGTATACATCCGTTATTTCAGACTGGCACCAAGGGAATTAGTAAGAAGGATAAGGCAGTTCAAATCGTGTTCCAAGGGCCTGGGACTTACATAAGACGATGCTTTCAGGGGAGACTGCTTCCCTCCTCAGGGCTGCAAGGCCACCATGTTTTTGCTGGCTGTGTAGGTCAGACCTGGGTCCTGAGCGAGCCCTGTCGCCTAGAGATGCCAGGTGCTGGCTATTAATCAGAAATAATGAGCAAGGCAGCTGTGACTTCTAATCAGATGAGCCCTCCAGAGTGTCAGATGGAGGCCAATTAGCTGAGGCACCAAGCAACAGAATTCTGCCTTTCCAAGCAAAACATCAGAAAGTGCTTGAGCCCCTCAGCAGCCACGCTGAGCTTCAGTGTCTTGCCTTTTCTCAGGTTTACACTGATCTTTTCTTGTTCCAGAGTGAGCTGGGGGCTGGTTCCAGGACTGGAACCCTTGGAAGCAGGAAACCTTAACACCTGGAGTGGAGTTGAAGGACTTTATTTTTTAATCTGAGTTCCTTTGGCCACCACCACTCCCCCTCCTCCCATGGCCAAAATCGACTTCTTTCCGGGGCCACATCATTCTTTCTCAGTTGCTTGGGAGCCCTCAAAGGCCTGAGGGTGGCACAAATGCTGAACGTTAAGATCTCAAATAAAAAAAGGCCTCCCTTCTGAGCAGATGATTTAGTACAGAGCCTCCACCAGAAATATTTCAGCTCCCATAAGGCATATCTAACCTACCCTACTGTGTGTGTGTTGGGGGGTATTCTTATAATTTTCTAACAGAAAAAATAGCATAAATACATAATACATAAAATTAAAATCCTCATCTCATCCCCTGCCTTCTTGGAGCATCTTAGGTTTCCTCCCAGAAAATTTCCATGCCTACAAGCCTATGTGTCCATCAAAACACACATACATACACACACACATAAATAGGTGTCCTTTCTAGTCTAGCCTCTGCTCTGAAAGTTCCTTTTTTACTTAACAATATATCTTGGCCATCAGTTTCATCAGCACCTGTGGGTCTGCCTCATTTTTTTTTAAAGTCTTGTTTGTTTGTTTTTGAGGGGAGATAATTAGGTTTATTTACCTACTTATTTTTTAATGGAGGTTCTAGGGATTGAACCCAGGACCTCAAGCATGCTAAGCATGCACTCTACCACTTGAACTATACCCTCCCCCTCTTCCTGCTTCTTTCTACCTAGTGTTCCAGGACTACTTAACCAGCCCCCTTCTCCTGGGTTTGTTGTTTCTGATCCTTTGCTATGTGTATTGGCTTAAAGTTCATTCTGCAAGTGGCCAATCCTGTTTCCCTCATTTCCAGTTTCCTGAGGGACATCCTGTTGTGGCCTCAGAGCACAGCACACTCACTCCTTCCTGCCTAAAAATTCAAGTTCTTGTCTCCTATTCTCCTTCTTGCTGCTGCCCTAATTTGCCTCTTTTCATGACCTGAACACTTTATTTTTCCCCCAAATAAAAATAGTCTTTCTTTTCAGGTTATAAAAATGGAAACTATTCATTTGAGGGACACACTCAAATGCTACAGGAAAAGTACAAAGAAAGTGACTATCACCTGCTCTTCCTGTCCCTCGAATGTCACCGTGTTGGCTAGTGTCCTTCCACATGGCCACGGGCATCCTTATGTAAGTGGCATCATTCCACACGTGTGGGTTTATCCTCTGCCACCACCTCCCCCCTCCCCACAATATATACGGACTTAAAAAAAATGCACAACTTAAATGTTGAGAATTATGTTTTATTTGGCAGACTTTCTAAGGACTTCAAGCCCAGGAAACAGCCTCTCAGATAGCTCTAAGGGACTGTTCTGAAGAGGGACGGAAGGAGCCAGGATTTACAGGACTTTTTGCAACAAAGACCAGGTAGTCAGAACATCAAAAGATTAGTGTTCATTAAAGAAAACCAGATATGGCAAGTTAAGAAATTCAACGCTTTTCTTTGTAGGGGAAGATGCAAGAGTCTGGGCTCATTGAAACCATTCCTTTGATACGTACCTTAGCTATGTAGGGCCAGTATCCTGTGCTTCCCCTCCTGAGTCTCCTCAGGGGTACCATTGGGGGTGATGGGCATCCTGTTTCCATCCTGAGATCTGTCAGGCTCACCATGGGGGGGAGAGGGGCTGCAGTGTGATGGCTTGATGGCTGCAGCATCCTTTATTTACTGATATGGCAGGCGACATTTTTCATTCACACACGGAACACAAAGATTATTCTTGGAAGAGCTGCCTATACTCCCAGACTGCATTCCTAACCTTCATGACCACAGCTCCTACCTCTCAATGGAAACCACTGTGTGGTCACCAACGGCCTTCCTGTAGGTAAGTCAGAAGTTTGGGGACTTTCTGGACATCAGGCTGAAAAATGAGGGAGCCCCAGAGAAAGAGACAGGAGCCCTGGGTTCTGAGATGGGCTCCCCTCCAGGCAACTAGCTAGTTGGGCCTCTCAGAAGCATCTGTCACCACTGAGCACCCCCTTCATGGGACACTCCTCTTGGTTCTCTGCCATCGTGCTCACCTGCTGTCCTCCAGTCCAGCCTCCTCCCCTAAACACTTCAACATCTCATCTAGTCTTCAAAAGTCAGCATTCCTCAGCCCTGGACCGCCCTTGTCGCCTCTTGGGCGGTCTTCCCAGGTGGTCTTGATTTCATCACCTGTGACTCCAAAATCCCTGTCTCTAGCCCAGATGTCTCCAGATCCTCATATCTGGCTGTTCCTCTTCCTCCCACTACCTCACACTCAGATTGTGAGGTTGACTGCCTGACCTCCTCACTTTTCCAGCATTCTCTGCCTCGTGGGAGGACACTCCCATGCACCCAGTCTTCCAGACTGTGTCCTACTTTCTGTTTCTGTGAACTGCTCTGCCTCAGCCTTCCCCCACCCCAGCTCCCACACTGGTCCTCGATCTTGGCCCCCCAGGCCTCCCCTAGAGCTCCAGCCCTCTGGGTTTAGAGATCCCCCCCTCTAGTGCCGAGCTTCTAGAACCTTCCCAGCCATCCTCTCACCATTGTTCTGTTTGAGTGTCTAGGTATGTGTGCAGTGGGATTTTGGACAATAACTATCACTCTGGTGTTTCACTGAGGAAAAAGGAAACACTTAAGAAAGCATCTTTTGGGTGTTGAAAGGCTCCAGACCATTTCATCTGCACCCCCTTTCCCACAATGAGGCCAGATATATGGGGGTGCTCAAATCTGGCGGCAGACACTACCTTGATGTGAAGACCAGCTCTGCTGGTTGTCAAGTAGGTGATTTTGGATGCATTGCTTAAGCTCTGTGACTCAGTGTCCTCACCTTTAAAATGGGGGTAATGATAGCATCCATCTCATTGAGAGGATTCAATGAGGTGACACATGTCAAGGGCTTGGCACCTACTAGGTGATTTAGAAATGCTGTAGATGATTATGGCTGAGAAAACTGACTCTGAGAGGGAAATGGAAGGGTTCTCATTCTCACCTGTAGCCACTGCAGACATCTAGTATAAATCACAGATAAAACAGTGCCCTTCACTTCTTGGTGGAGGGCTGGCTCTGGGCTTAACTGGGAGACACTGACTTCGATGTCCCCCTCTCCCAGACTCAAACACTGTGTCCTTTAAATCAGCTCCTGAGTGGTAAGGAGTCCCAGCCTCGGGTATCAGAAACTGGACCTGCTGCAGGTGCTTCTCCACTAGCTTTTGGTAGGTTATTTCCCCTCTCTGGCCCTCCTTCCTTCCGTATAAAATGAAGTGTTTGAATTGAATGTTGGGGGAGAGTTTCCCAACTCCAGCAGTCTGATTCTTCCTCAAATCCTTGAAAAGTATGAGTGACATTAGATTATGTAAAGATACTCAACTAGAGGCCAAGATTCAGAGGACTCTGAACCCCCTAGACCCGTATGCAAAAGGTCTTTGTGTGTATACACATGCGTGAGCTCATCTGAGCATTTTTCTGGGAAGAGCTTTTGTTAGCTTTGTAAAGGAGGTCTGTAATGCCAAGAGGTTAGTCACCAGCCTGGTTTAGGTCTCCTCAACTTTGACCTGGACTATAGCAACAGTGTCAAAACAGGTCTCCCTACTCCTTTCTCTATCCTCCACCCACCACACAGGGTATCCTTCTGAAGTGCAATGCTGACTCTCATCCCCCTGCTTAAATCCTTCCATTGACTCCAGGGGCCTAAATTCTTTGCAGGACACTTAGTGTCCATCATAATCTCACCCAGCCATTTCCCTATACTTATATCCTGTCACATCCTAACTCATTTTTTCTCTGTCCTCACCCCCTCTGCCTTGGCCACACAGAACATTTCCCCTGCTTCCTGAATGTGCCTGGCACTTTCACATCTGTCTTCCTTTGCAAAGGCTTCCCTCTATTCCATCTGGCAAACTCCTATCTGGGCCTCAAAATCTATTTCAGGTGTCATCTCCTTTGTGATGTCTCTCTGACGCCCCGCCCCCAACTAGGCACCCCTTTCTATGCTCTCACTACTTTATCACATTTACCCCACTATATTGTAATCGTGTGTGTAAGTATCTGCCTCCTCAACTAGATACGAAGCTCTCTTTGGATACACACCCCTGAACAGGTGCATGTCGTGTTCGGCCCCGCCCCCTGCTGCCCCGCCGCAACTACATTTCCCAGAAGGCCTAGCGCCTTGGGCATGCGCACTGGAGCGCAAGGAAGCTGCGACGCTGAGTTTCACTCTGGCTGTCTCCTCAAGAGTCGAAGCCACAGTCGGAGCTGTGTCCAGGCCAAGCCGGAGGTGAAGCCTGAGCGCGGCAGTATCCTCCTCCTACCCCCTCACCCCCCTCAGCCTCGGTGAGAGGGACAGGCAGGCCACCTGCTCGCCACCAGGGCTGGGGTCCCGAGGGCGCGGCGGAGACCGAGCAGAGCTGGGACCGGAAGGGGGCGGGCGTGGGCGTGAGGGAGGGCCGGGCCGGAGAAGGGCCCCGGGGTGAGGTCCGGGGGGATTGCGAGGACAGGCGTCCGGGTAGAGGTCCCGGAGGCGGGAGTTGGGGGAATTGGGAGGCGCTGGGAGCTTAGGACCGGACCGGCTGGGAGGGTGAACGCCCGAGTGGGACCCGAAGGGAGAGCAGGGGGAGGGGCGCAGACCCTAGGAGTTTGGGTCCGTCAGGAGAGTACCTTTTCCCACAGGATCTCGAGGAGGCGGTGGTGATACTGCCGTCAGACTGCCTAGTTAGGGTGTGGGTTCTGCTGGGGTCTGCTTCCCGGTGGACGACTCACTGGAACCAGGGCTGTACTTTAGAAGAGTTTGCCCCCTAACTCTGCTTAGAATACTTTCTCTGACAGTACCCTTTCTTAGCCTTACTGTTCTCCACATTGGTTCCTCTTCCCTAAGTGTCAGTAGCAATGGAAATGGTGTGTGCACAGGCGCTTGGACCCTTAAACTCAGAATATTTCTGCATGCCATCCTAGCTCCTCTAGAGTTGTAGAAGGTGGACTTTCTGAAAGCCAAAATCAGGTTTTACTTAAACCATCAGGGTAACTATAAGCCTGTTGTTCATTAGCTCTGTGATCTTGCCAAACTTACCCTCTCTGATATGTTGATTTCCTGGATGCCTGTACTGCAGACTGGCTTATGAAGTCCTTTTAGGTCTTTCTGTGGAAGGGCTGAGGTTTTTTAGTTTCTTTTTTTTTTTTTAAGCCATCCCTTGATTATTGAGTGGGCAGAGGGAGACTACTGTACCTTCTGCTCTGCCCAGACTGTTGGAAAATAATCTGGTGGTTTCCAGTCCCCAGCCACAGGACACAGATCCAACATCTGTGCATTCATTTTCACTAACTGCTGTTTCTCAATTTAAAACCTGATCATCTTCCTTGTTGGCAAAGGTGCCTTGGAATTTGTGTCGCTGAGTCAGCAAGCCTTTCAGATTCGCCCGGTTTTTGTTGTTTGCGTTTTCTATCAAGATGGGAACTAAAACAAGTCATTCCTCCTAAAGATCTGGTATCTCCGTCAAGAAGGCACAGTTTGTGCCAGCTCTCCAGAGATAAAAGGTGAGAGCCACGGGGACTTTGTGTTACTGCCTTCCCAATCTGGTTTTCAGTGGAAAAAGTGAGGACAGGGGAGGGTGGAATTTGAGGTCCCCAAGATGAAAGTGAGTCCTGGGAGTTGATAGTTGATTGCCAGCTGTCTCAGATAAATTCAGGTGGCTTCTTGCCGACGGCTTCTCCTGTTTAACCAGTCTTAGAGGATGCTTTCCGCTTTCAGACATGCTTTATGGGATGAAGGATACAAGTCACAATTTCTGCATTTGAACTGGAAATTTTTATTTCTTTGGTTACACAAACCTTTACTGGGTGCCTCCTTTATGTCAGGCCCATGGGGGTACAGTGACAAGCAACAAAAGCTCTGTCTTATAGGAGCTCATTGTTTGATAGAAAAGATGGACAAACCATAGACAGTGACAAGGTGTTGTCAATGTGATACATGTTGAGGAGTGGATAATCATAGGGCAGTAACTCCCCTCATCTCACACACACACACATCCAGGAGGGAAGGTCTGGAAGGCTTCCAGAAAATGATAGCTAAGGGGAGTTGTGAAGAGGAGTAGGACCCAGGAAGTAGGGGGCGAAGCCTGGCAGAGGAGTCAGCATATGCAAAATCATGAAGAGACCTGGCATGTCTGGGCCACTGTCAGTAGCTCAGTGTGGCTAGAGCAATAGCAGGTAGGTGTGGGGCGGAGAAGCCTGGAAAGGTAGGCAGAGGTCTGAGTGGGGGTTGGGGGGTGGTTTGTGGGCCAGGCCCAGGCTCCAGGAACAGAAGGATTTTAGCAGAAGAATTCCATTAAGGGCATTTTAAGTGAGCATCCTGGCTAGAAATTGTGGAATGGATTAGATTGGCTTATTCTCTTTGAGACTGTTTCCTTATACCAGGGCAGCTTTTGGTAGGGGGGAGGTAGACCTGTGAGCTTGCCCTCAGGCTGCTCCTGGTCTTGTTGAAAAGCTAGATTGCCCCTCTAGAACTGTGGAGTACAGACAGAATGCTGTGGAAGTTGATAAGAGGGGGCTTTCTTTCAAGTGGGCACATCAGGGCATCCTGGAGGTGCTGTTTAAATGGGGCCTTGAAAGTATGACTCCGTTAAGGATGGGTGGCCTAGTAGGTGGGATTCCAGGTAGACGCAGGCACGGAGTTGGGGAAACTGGTTGTATAGGGGGCAGCAGGTCATCACTTAAACTCCTTGGGAGGGGCTGGGGGGGTGTAGATGAAAGAGGGTGTTGAAGAGAAATGCACTGGCAGGTGCTGCTGATAGGGAGGGACCATATTGTGATGGGCTTTCAGCATCAACTCAAGGAATGGGAACATTATTTCTAGAACTCTAGCGGAGGTGTGGAAGAGAGGATCAGAGCTGTACTTCAGGAAGCTCAGTCTTTGTGTGTGTGTGGGGGGGGTAGTTATTAGGTTTATTTATTTAATTATTATTATTTTTAATGGAGGTACTGGGGATTGAACCCAGGACCTGATGCATGCTAAGCATGTGCTTTATCACTTGAGCTATACATACCCTCGAGGAAGCTCAGTCTTGCACTTGTCTCTGAGATGGACTGGAAGGAGAGACAAGAGTTGGAGTAGCTGGGAGAGCATGCTTATCAAGGTGAGAGGCAGAAAGGTCCCAGCCATATGCAAGCAGTGGGGGCTGAGAAGGTGAGGGGAAAGGAGAGAGCAACAGGGCAGCTGCCAGGCTGTGGGGGAGAAGGCTGGGGAGGAGCAGGAATCCCAGGGTTTTCTCCTGGCTGCCTAGGGCAGGCAGAGTGGAGCCAGGGAATCCAGGAGGAAAGGGGAGTTAGCCAGGCAGGTGAGCGTGGCTTCCTAAGAGGCCATCAGTTAAGGGGCCATGGGCGAGGGAGAAACACGTGCCTACATAAGTTGTGTGCCAGGGCATGTGCTCACACTCAGGGTACAGAGCTGAATTAAACAGTCACTTCTGTGTGTTTTCATTTTTACCTCCAGTAAACAGAGAACTAGATTAATACACACTGATCACTGTTCACATGTGGCTTGCTTTTTTTTATTCCCTAAGTTATTTTTAACAAATGTAAGTGAGCTCTTGCATTCTATCCATCCACAACAAAAGCCAGGATCTTGAAACAAAATACACATCCAGTACTTGATCTTTCTTCCCATTCCCATTCTGAGGTAACCATTACCCTCTTGCTTTCATTTTTATGTAGTTTTATGGTACCTGTGTATGTCTAAGGAACGTGAAAAAATATCGCAATGATTTGTCCGTGTTATTGCATGTCATCTGGTTCATTTGTCTTGACTCTTGAATAATATTCCATGGCGTGAACACATCAGTTTATGCATCTAATCTTCCGTTGACAGGCACCTGATTGTTTCCAGGTTTTTGCTGTCTTGAGTGTGCTGGTCTGAACACTTCTATATGTATTTCCTGTACACATATGCAAGACGTTTTCTTGGGTACAAACTGAGGTGTTTTGCTGGATCGTGGAGTAAATACATGTTCAACTTTCATAGCTATTGCTAGACCTTTTCTGAAGTGGTTGTAAGAGTTTACACTCCATGGGCAGCAAGAGTGCGGGCCTTCCAATTGTTCCACATTCTTGCCACCACGTGCTATAGGCAGACTTTTTAAATTTTTGCCAATGGAATGGGTAATAGGTATAAAATGGGATCTTTGGGGTCTTGATTTCTATGTCCCTGAGCCCTGGTGTTGAACATCTTTTCATAAGCTTATTGGCATGTATGTCTGCTGTGAAATACTTGTACACGTCTTTTGCCAATTTTTCTGTGGATTTGTAGGCGTTCTTTATATATTCTTGCTTTTAATACTTCGTGCTTACTACGAATATCTTTTTCAGCTTGTAACTTTCTCTCCTTTCTCGAAAGCATGTTTTGTTGAACAACCATTCTTAATTTTAATACAGTGAAATGTATTTTTTCATTTATAGTCAGCGTTCTCTATCTCGTTTGAGAAGTCTTTTCCTGACCATAATCCTTGCCTTTAAGGAGCCTGTACCCTAGTGGAGGGAACAAGTAGATGATCGCACTCAGATGTCACATGGACGTTGATGGTTAGAAATTGCCACGTCTCCCTGCCGAATAGGAGTAGGTGTAGGAAAGATTTCACAGGGCAGGGAGTCTCAGGTTGGGAATTAAGAGATAAGTGAACTGGTGGGATGGATACTCTTGGAAGGGGGTGTGGGGCATGAAACAGCCTGGCCAGTTCTGGGCTCTCCCTGGAGTTGCCGATGGCAGGAGCAGATGGCTTGAGGGGCTCAGGCAGAGCACCTGAAGAGAGATTCGGAGAATCTGCGTACATGGGATTACTGAAGCCATGGGAACAGAGAAGAGGATCACTGGGGAGTATGGAAAAAGAGGAGAGGTAGGCCCGGGCCTGATTTCCTGAGGTAGAGAAAGGTGTGGCTCTGGGCAGCTCTTGGGGTTCCTTGGGGCTGGCCCTGACCACGTGCTGCCTGCTGTGCTGTTGGATGCAGTATTTCATCCTCAGGTGTTAGGCAGAGACTGACATGTCTGCAGAGGGCAGGGCATGCTGTAGGGGAGGCTAGCCAGAGGCGTAAGCACTTTCCCACTTTTTGATAGAGAATGGGTTTGGAGAAGTGTTTCTCAACCATGGGAGCACAGTGGTAGATGTTGGGGAGGCAGTAAGTAGGGCAGGGGTCGGCAAACCATGGCTTATGGGCCAAATCTAGCCCACAGCCTGCTTTTGTTAGTAAAGTTTTATTGGAACACAACCACGCCAGTTAGTTTACACGTGGCCTCTCGCTGTTCTCACGCTACAGTGGCAGAGTTGTGTAGTTGGAACAACACTCTAAGTCTGCAAAGCGTAAAATGTATACCTTCTGGCCCTTTACAGGAAAGTTTGCCGGCCCTGCCCTGGGAGTCATGGTAACTGTGGTAACCTTGAGAGTCGTACCAATCACGACAGAGGTTCAGATAGTTGTTGCTGGCTGGGTAGTGAATCTGGGTCAGGCTTGCAGATGTTGCCAGCTTTTCTGGTTTTCACGAGACGCTGGAAATCTGTATTTTTTTAAATGGTGGATATTCTGGTTTTTAAACATTGGTTCAGTGTTTAAAAACTAACAGCTGTATAAGCCAAGCAGACACGTCTGGCAGGCCGATTTGTCCACTTCGGTTTATCCCTCTGCAAACTGCTTTGGATTTACTTATACCTGTGGATTCTCTGGCAGATTGCTTATCTTTTGCCTCACTTTTCTCATCTATAAAATACAGATGATGATACCCTTCCCCCAGGATTGTAAGGATTAAATGAGAACACTTATAGGATACTGAGCACAGTGCCTGGTACCTAGTAAGTTTTGGTTGATTGTCACTGGTGTTTCCGCTGCGACTACATCTGCCACTGCTTCCATCATCACTCTTCTGTTCTGGCCCCAGGATGGGCTGGGAACCAGGGCTCTTCCCTCTGACGACCTGTGGGTGGTCAGGTTGCTCCTAGTGAAGAAGGAGCTGCAGGTTCTTGGTGCTGGAGGAAGAGGTTGCCTACAGGGGAACTGTAGGTTGCCTGGGGTGCCCCTGGCCGCCATGTGGCTTCCTGAGCCCCATTTGGAACATCTACTCTGACCTGCCGCTGGAGGGCCCAAGGCAGGCAGCAGCTAGGTGAGAAGTTGTCACCTCCCTTACAGCAGCCCCACGTGCAAGGAACAAATCATGCAATCATTCGTTAGTTCCTTCCATCTCTCAGAAACCTGGTAAGGTCCGGGTGACACTGGCCTGAGCCATCTCTTTTCCAGAGAAAAGCCCCATCTTGCAGTGTCCTCTGTTGTAATAGTTTGGGCACCTGGATGGTGTGTTTTATGCATTTGCTTGGAACTCAGGGATGGGGGAATGTGTCTCTTGGCAAGGAGGTGCCATGGTACTTTGACAAGGCCTGTTAGTAAAACCCTACTGGGACAGGAGCAGCCATCTAAATTAATGGTGGTAAGTAACGATGGTGGTAGTTTGGTTTATATTTATGATCTTTTGAAAGTGGAGGGTATTTTGGTTTGTTTCT